CCTCCATCTCCCCACTGTCCCCTGCCTGGGCCTGCATCTCCGCCTCACTGTTCCCTGTATCACCACTTCCTTATCTGTCATCTCTTGGCCTCCTTTCATCGTCACTGCTGTTATTCTGTATGAGTGTGTTTGGAGTTGGGGTACCTCTGCCTCTTTTCTCTCTCTTCACTTCGTTCTCTTTCTCTGTGCCTGTCTCTATTCTGCCTTCCGCTTCTTCCCTCTGTTTTTCTGTTTCTGTCTCTCACTTTTCCACACTCACCTCTCCACTGAGCGTCTGTCCCTGTGCCCTGCCCCCATCTGTCTTGTCTCTCTCTACCTGCCTCCCTTCCGCATCTATATTCATCCCCTGCTCTTTGTCCGTCTCCCTAAATTCTCTCTACCTCTGACTCCTCTCTCTGGCCTGTATTTCTCTTACTCTTTCTCTGCCTCTCCAGCTTCTCTCACATTTCCTAGATTCTCTCTCCTCTCATGGCCGCCCCTCTCTCTGTCTCTGTCCCTCCGTCTCTCAGACTCTCTCCCTCTCCCACCCCCACCCCGTCCACCCTGCCCTGGGGTCCCCCTCCCTGGATTCCTTCCAGATTACAACACCTTCACCTACCAGGCAGGCAGGTTCTCATTAGCAATTGGGACTATTTCTCTGGTGAGAGAGGGGACAGGAGAGATGGGACAGGCTACCCTGGAATGGGAAGTAAGGCGACAACAAAAAAAAGTCGGAAGGGTGGAGGAGAAACGCCAGCTACTCAGACCAGAGACAAAAGGCCTCCATGAGTGACAAGGAAGCAAGACGTCTTCCCCACTCCTCCAGACAGGAGACATCAGGGCAGGACCTGAACCCATCTCAGCATCCTCTCTCCAGCCACCAAGGAGCCCCCAGACCCTGCCCTCCCGGTCTCTGGCCTCTATTCTGTCCCTCATCCATGTCTCTAAGGTCTTAGTCTCCGTCTAAGACGCTCTCTCTGTCTCTGACCTATAACTTCTGGGTCTCTCGCAGCCTCCTTAACCCTCACTTTCTCTCTACATCTGCCAGAATCCAACCCCCAGCCCTCAGAATGTTCCGCCTGCTGACAGCACTTCAGATCTTGGCTGTAGGTAAGACAGCAGTGGGGCCTGGACTCTGAGAAGACATGGGGAAGGGTCCTGGGGACCCGATGTGCTCACAGATGACCTGGTGAGAAGGGGCAGGGAGTAGTTTGGGGATCATGGCTGAGGAGCACGCTGCAGGGGGCGCCTAAGTCCTAAGTTGTGGAGGTATTAGGAGGTTGCAGGGTCCAGGGGGTTGTAGGAGACGGGGAGAAACAGAAGAGGAATTGAGAAAAACTATCAGGTCTTGAATGGGTCTTATTAGAAAGGACAGCAGGACACTTCTTGATTGTGTTAGGGAAGAACTAATACGGGAAAGACAACGTGTTGCCAGAAATGATGGTGGGAATGATGATGGGGTGGTGAGCTCCCGGCAGGGAGAGTGGGTGTGGGGAGAGATAGTGGATCCTGGGGGGGTCACGTTGAGTGAGAAGTTTGGGGAAGGGACAGGGAGCTCCCTGAAGGTGTTGGAGGATTACTGGGTGGAATTGTGCTGTACTGTGAAAAGTGATGACAGAAAGTATTCATGGAAAAGCAGAGTCAAGCATAGTAGCCGTATCAGGACCCTGGATGAGGTAAGCCCTGGGATCCAATAATAGATACTGTGGAGGTGCCTGGGAGTGGGGGGGGGGGGG